CTGTCGCATACAGACAGGTGTCGTCTGCAAAGAGGGCCAGGTGAACGCCTTGTGTATGGGGGGCATCGTTTATATACAAATTGAAGAGAGTAGGGGAAAGAACAGAACCTTGTGGCAACCCTGCTTGCATTTCCCTTGGCGTTGACATTTCGCCTTCAACAGAGACCCTGAATTTACGTTTAGAGAGAAAGGACCCAATAAGCTTGGTCAAGGAGTTAGGGAATTCCAATTTTGATAATTTAAACAGCAAGCCTGAGTGCCACGTGGTATCAAAGGCTTTTTCGATGTCCAAGAACACTGCAGCCGTAGACATTTTATTGTTGAAATTAAGGGTCACGTGGTCCGCCAGCCTCATACATTGCAATGTCGTGCTGTGACGTGCACGAAAACCAAACTGACTTGCGTTGAGCAGGTCTCTTTCTTCAATATGTTTATGGAGGAATTTCAAAATTGCTTTTTCGAATAGTTTTCCTGTTGTGGACAGGAGGCTGATCGGACGTAAATTTTGAGGAAATTTCGGGTCTTTACCCGGTTTGGGTAAAGTTATTACGTTTGCTTCCTTCCAAGTACTTGGCAAGTGAGAAAGCCGAAAGCAATGATTAAATAGATGGGTTAGATGAACCAGTGGTCGCCTTGGAAGGTGCCTGAGGCGTTCATTTGGGATGCCGTCAATTCCGCAGGCCTTTCTTAGTTTCAGGGATTTTATTAATTTCTGTACGTCACATGGGCTGATCCATTGAGGGGGGGGTTCTCGTTTACGTTTCCAGCAGAGCTTGAACTCTAGCCTCCACCCGCTCTTCATGGTTTTCGTCGTACATGTCATGTGGCGTGAACTGAATTTCCAAATAGTCGGCAATTTCGTTGGCTTTTTCAGAAGGATAAAATTTAAGGCCAGAAGAACCATGAATAGCAGTTGGTGCCCTTGGCCCATCTCTCTTAAGGAGAGATTTCGCAATGGGCCATATACTCTGAGGTGTGACTTCAGCGTTACTTATTTTTGTTTCCCACCGTTCAAGTGCCTTTTTACGGGTCATTTGCCTGATTGATTTGGTGACCCAATTGACTGCCGTTTTACACGCTGGATCCCTGGTTTCTTGCCACAATTTTCTTAGCTTCTGTTTATATTTTATCAAACGATCCAGACCAGGAAGATAGTTGTTTATGCCCGAAAGTGTAATTTTACTTGTCGACAACCTATATGCCGAAGCAATAGAGGCTGCAAAGTCGCGTGCCGCTTTATCGGCTTCTACCCCCGAATTAATTTCTAGTTTAGGTGATATTAATTCAGAAGCGAGGCTTTGAAACCGCTCCCAATCTGTAAATTTTTCAATGGGTTCCGAAAGATTCCTAATTTTAACATGATCCAGTATGTGGAATACTATTGGTAGGTGATCTGAGTCCAAAATATCAGAGACGATGACATCTGACACTCTGATATTTCGGTGAACCACAATGTCTAACACGTCACCATTTCCCGCAGGGGAATAATGAGTGGGGCTCTGTGGTGCTGAAATTTCAAAATCACTCCTATCAAATAAATCAACGAGTTCCAAGCCTGAGGGGTTTGAAACTCTGCTATTCCAAAATGGGTTCTTAGCATTCAAATCACCTGCCAAAATAGACTTACGTCTGAAGCTTAAGAGCTCAGTGATGTCAGCATCACTCCAGGCTTTGCTTGGAGATTTGTAAACAGCTGCAAGCAGCACTTCGCTATTACCAATTGGTATGCAGACCCCTGTCGCTTCTACTGAAACAAGGGGTGGTAGGTCTACATGGATGTGGGGAATGCCTTTTCTTACTGCAACGGCAGTTCCGCCCTTTCTGCCCGACTGGCGGTCGATTCTATAAAAGTGGTAATTTGGAATAAAGAACCTCTCATGAGGTTTCAGATGTGTCTCTGAAAACAGGGCCACATCTACGTGTAGGTCTTGCAGCTGTTTACTGAGCTCATAGCGCTGCCTCCCAATGCCGTTCGCATTAAATGCTATGACTTTGAGGGGCCTATGAACTCTAGTGGCCATTTTGTTTCATTAAGTTTAGAACAATTTTAGTTATGGTCATTATTTTGTCCTCCTCGGACACTGCACCACTGACCTCTGTCATAATTTGCTGTACTACAGTCACTACTCTCAACATATTGTCGAGAGATTGACTGTTTACATTAGGAGCCTGAACTGACTGACCTGTGTGTTGTTCCAGTACAGGGATCGGGACGCTCGGTTTCGTGGCTGCTGGTGGAACTGCCACTGGTGTTTGTCGAGTCTGAGACCGCTGCTCCTGTGATGTGTTGCCTCGGAGAGCCGCCGCGAAGGAGACTCCAGGGATGACGATATGTGATGAGAACACCCTTCCTGTTGTGGTTTTGGGTGGTCTCTGCAATTTCTTCTTCTGCAGTTCCTCCTTCGCGTGACTGCAGCCGCGGTAGTTAGCGGGATGAGGTTTCTCTCCATCCTTCAATTCACAGTTACATCACGCTGGAGTGGAGGCAGCGTTCTGTTTCTCGGGGCACTCTCTGTGCAGGTGGCCACCCCCGCATCACATGCAGCGGGGAGGTTGCTTACAATTAGGGCAGACTTGGCCAAATTGTTGGCAGTTGTGACACTGCGTAAGGCCACTCTGTGCCCTATAAGCCTCGACCCGGATGGAAACATGGCAAAGGTTTTGTAGTTTGAATATTTCTTGGGATTTTGCCGTCCTGGGTAAGGTGATAAGGAAGAGCGGAATGTTTCTTGCTATCCTTTCGTCTGAAGGCGACCCGCGGGTGGTTGTCATCTGTTTGACGCTGACCACATCAAATCCCAGGGTCACCAGTCCATCAGATATATCCTCCGCAGGGGTATTGTGAGGGAGGTGACGGTTACGGCCTTTATGGGTTTTAGGGACTTGGGAAAGAAGGTAAAATAGGAAAGTTTGTTGTTGGATAGATGGGACTTGACGGCTTCGAAATCCGCCATGCTTTTGGTGAGGACTCTGGTCCCGTTTCTGGTACTGCGGAACTCAAAGTCGCCTGTCACAACATTTTTCAGTTGCTTCTGCAATTGAATGAGGTTCACTGTAGAAGTGAGAATTATTGGGGGGGCCTGCCTGCTTTGCCTGAGGTTCCCTCCTCCAGCGCAGTGGCTTCTGCNGACTTCAGCTCATTCAGCGTGACTGTGTAGTTGCCATAGAGCGCACTGAACAGCGTCTTGCCGGAGAGGGCCTTACAGTAATTTATCCTATTGTCGTCGGCAGCGCTGACTATTGCCGCCCATTTTTCACTTTCTCCAATCGCAGCAGTTGTTAAGCCCGCCACGTCCTCAATGGTGCACAAGATGTCGAATAAACGCCTTTACTGGATTTCGGCCTCGGGGTACTGCTGTATAATTTCTTTAAATTCGGCCTGAAGAGCGGCACTTTTTCGGCCCAGAATGCCTGCCCCGGCATTGGCGGGGGGGATTCCCATTGTTGGAAGCCGCTACATAGCAATTCCTTGTGAAGACAGTAGCGAATCAACGTCTCATGAATCCGCCGATAAGTGACAGCATTTGTGTAAGTGCTAGCGATTATGTGAAGTGTAATCACGAGCGTCACGAATTTCGAAGGAGTTCAATAGATCCAGTAATGAATCGAAACTCCGTCTACCGTCACTCAAATTAGTGACAATGTCTTAACGGGGTTCACTAAAATTTGCAATAAGGAATGCATTTAAAATTCTTGTATGTGGATAATTGCCCCTCCTCTGGTCGCTGGATTGCCCTACTGCCAGCTTCGATTTCAGTGTATGGTTTTAGGGACCGCTTGAAACGCTCAACGTTGAGTTTAGGACGACACAATATGCGAGTAGTTGAATTTAACTTCATTGAAAGAAAAGTTTGTGTCATGGCGGAACCCGTGTTGTGATTTCAGGTGTGTGGTAGCGTGATATTTTGTTCCTGCCTACTGTAGTCTTCATTCTTTTGAAAGTAGGATGGCTTCTAGTACCAAAAGTTTGAAGCCTTCAAAAGCTGCAATAGAACAATTTTGTGCTGTAACAGGTAAGGATTTTTCTTTATTGGCATCTAGCATACTGCGTTAACAAGCGTTTTGTCGGCTGGTAGTGTTAACTGTTGCATTGACATCCACTTTTTGTGGTACTATAAACATAAACGAGTTTTTGTTGTGTGAAATACGGCAGATACGTATTGAGTTCGGATTTTTCGCCGCCAGTTTTATTCGATTCTTCATGTCATAGGAAAAATGTGATTTTTTTCCTCTTGTCTGTTTTAATTATTCGATTTTTCACGGCATTAGGAAATTGTGATTTTTTAGCAGCCTGTTTATTTTATTCGACTGTTTATGGCATTGAACTCATCGTCATGCAGTGTTTTTTGTTTGCTAGTGGGGTGGGACTAAGTTTTATGAACTGCGGCCAATTCTGGCCTATTGTACTAGCCCCAGATGGTAGGTGAGGGTGATTGTGGAGCAATTGGTGGAATGAAGATTGGGAAGGGAAACCGAAGTACTCAGAGAAAACCTGTCCCAGCGCCACTTGTCCACCACAAATCCCACTTGACCAGACCCGAGATCGAACCCGGGTCACCACGATGGGAAGTCAGCAACTAACCTCTTGAGCTATGGCGCAGCCATCATGCAGTGTTAATGGGAGGTAAGTGTGTTATGCTGTGCCATGATCGGATTTCTCATTTGATTAAACAAGTGTATCACCGAGCTTGTTGGTGGTGTGATAACACTCAAGACTTCAGTTTGGGAATTATGCGGTGTGCATCTTAGCCAGGGCACGACTATCCTGACTGAGGTTTTAGCAGTATTTCTGTGCTCCTCCAGCAGATGCTGGGATGTGCCCTGATTAGGCAGTGACCACTACCATCTACACCCTTTCCAATTCATGTCATCCTGCTATTTGACATTACATAAAATTCTTCATCCATCAATTAATAAATGTATTGCCTTGTTTTCAAGCTGTATTAAAACTTTAACACTGGTGTATATAGTTGAATATGTATATGTGTTCTACAGTTGTATTAGATTGTCTTCCAGAACACTTTAAATTTAATATCATGGATGGCATCATTTTTCACGTTGAAATTAAAAAGAAAAGGGAATTGGGAGTACCAGGAAAAGTTCTTTATCCATGTAACAAATAGTATAGAGCCTCCTGTGGCAGTCAGGTTTGAATTGCAGTATGTGCTGTCTGTTCCTCTGTGCTCATATCAGTTTCCTCTCCTTTCCTGTCGCCATATGATGACATATCAGTGCCTTCCAATTAATGATGTCTCTCTCTGATAACATACCAACTGATATAGTACTTTGGAATGGCAATGTAGCATGAAAGGTAAGAAAGCAGTTTTAGAGCCATGTTGTATCCTGTTGAGGTAAATTTTGGTGGTCTATCATTACACTGTGGTTACCATTTGTTAGTATGTTATGATGGTTTGGAAATAAGTCCTCCGGGAGGGACTTTAAGCTGTGGGTCCCGTGTCGTAGCTTTATGGCACATAAAAGAACCTCATGTCCCAAGGGGACCACTGAGCCAAATTCAGGACATTTCCCGCCCAACAGTAGTCTCTAACACCTCTGGTAGATGGGGGAAGCATTGAGATACCGCTTAGCCAGTAGAGGCCGAACTCGCTGCCTCAGTCGGGACTGATGGCACGCACCAGTACCGGTAGGGAATAGAGACTGGTAGAATATCATAAGGGGACGCACAGTGGACCAACAGTTGGTCTAAGTGTATGGGGAAACCCATCCTCTCCAATACAATACAATACAATACAATACAATACAATAGTACCAGTAAGTAACAACTTCAGTAGTAGGTTAGATTGTTTTGTGTATAGTCTGTAATAACTGAATATTGCTCATATTCAGTTACCTATGTATGCAGTCACCATACTGTTAAACTCTTCTGGTTTGGTTTGATTTAATTAGGTTAGTTTAGCCTAACTTATAATTAGCTTCTTTTGTATCAAGTTCTGTTACGTGTTCTAATTTCTGTTTTCATTACTACAATGTGTCTATTTATACAGCTTAAGTATGTTTTAATAATTACTTTGCAATCCAGTGGCAGTTTGTAATATGTTTAGAGACATGTATTGATATTTCAGATGTGCTGCAAATTTATTTGTAATCAGTTATCGGTTTCACAACAGCAAGCAGCAATGGTGCACTATAGTTAGGTATTGCAAATTACCAGTGTGAAGTCCTCTATACATTACCAAGAATTGTGCTGAAAATGTAGTTGTACTTATTAACTGTGTAACTACTCAGAATACTTGACTTATCAGCTCAGGCTGTTAGAACTATTATCACGACATGTTTTGGGGTGTCTCTCCACTTTTGATGATTTCCGCTGCTGGGCACAAATTGAACTACTGGTGTTGGTATTCAGCTGATGTGTTGTGGTATGGCTCATGTTTTCATTATACCTGAGGGTAAGTAAGAATTAGATTTCATAATTTCAGTGAGTACAGCTACATTAATTTGACTGACCTAACTCCTTATTTTTGTATTTGTTCAACAATTCTTTTCTTAGGGGCATCAAAGGACACTGCAAAGCAGATGCTGGAAGTTTACCACGGGAATGTTGAAATGGCTATCAACATGTTCCTGGAGGACCAGGATGGAGCATCTTCCTCTAGTCATGTTCGAGACCCAATTCCACCCCAGCAGTCAGTCCTTGTTGAGACATCAGGATTTCAGAGCTATTCAAGTAGACCAAAAAGGGCGGCACATTCTGTGTTTGACACATTCCGAGATTTCCAGGTGGAAACACGTAAGTTTCTGATAGCAGCAAACAGAAGAATGCATGAAAGCTTTTGTTTCTGTTTTCAGATAAAATTTATGTAGTTATGAACCATGAATGGAGTCTTTAAATGTGGCTAGTGAAGCAGGAGTTCTCGGGCATCAAACTGAATCACTAAGGACCAATGAGTATAAGCATGGAGATGCTTCTCTAAAGAATAACTGAAGGTAATGTGCTCATCCATAAGAAAGAAATCATGTACTGGGACAAACTTAATTTTACTGTTTCATTCTACTGTTGCTTATCACACCACACCCTAATGATGGAGTCTGAGGCAGGTTCCAAAATGTCTTACATTTTCTTACATATCACATGGTCGATTGCTTGAGAAGCCTTCATTGTAACCAGGCCTCGTAAAAACTTCAGATTTTGTAAAGAACCACAATTTGTACAGTTGAATACAGGGATGATATATAAGTCAAGTTTTAGATTATGAAACACACAGTTATGGCTGATGTAGGTTACGTAACAGCATTTATTAATATTTTCACAGCCAGGCCCTGCTATATTGCTCCATGCACCAGCCAGCCACTTTGCAGAAATTTGCATGTTCAAACTAATATTAAATGCAACATTCAGGATTAATGTGTTTTGGGGCTTTGTCTGTTCTGTAGAATCATAAAGAACACAGTGTTTTGGAAACTTGGTCTGTTTCCTTCCTCAGGTGAAAGGGTGTGAAACACCTGCTCTGTTGGATCTGATGGAAAGAGCTAACCTTACTAGCTGGAGAATGTATGTTAGTATAATTAACTATATTTATATCTGCACCTGAGGCCAGGTTTTGTGGCAATGGGAGGTAATTGGAAAATTTACAATAAAAACTGTGGGGATGTATATGAAGACCTAAAACTAAGACAGGAAAGGAAGTGGAAAATAAATGTATTGAATCAAACCATCATCAAAATCCAGAAACACCAATACAGAAGGATATTGAAGTTATCAAGTTATACAATGCCTGCTTACTGATAACTTGATCTGTTTAACATAAACTGAACAAGATTACAACTCTGATTGACAGTACTTTCAGTCTATTATGATAAAGTAGGTGTATTTACTAAATTCTGCTTGATTAATTTCTGGAGAAATCTTCTCATGAGTACCCTAGTGCACAAATTTTTTCATGTCCTTAGCCATAATATATGTTTAAAATGGAGGGAAAAACAAAAATCTTCCATATCACTGTGCCACCACACTTTCATGGAAACAGAATGTTTTCAGGCCCTCAGTTTATATCGTGCATAGTTTATAGTAATATTTAGTGTCATGTGTAACCTTCCAACATAGTGAATAGTGATATAAATTGTAATTTGTATGAAATTTGTATTGTTATTGTTTCTTTTGCTCTGTTACTTCATACAGGTTGTAGCAGGGAAATGGGCTATTTTAAAAACTCAGTAATTAAATAAAAGATATATATTTGCCAAATTACAGTATGCCATCTTAAAGTACATAGCATGCCGTTTAGTTCTTGAAGATGATATCCTTAAGATGACCTCTGTCTCTGCACAGGCATCTCTCTCATCTTCCATGCATGTTTCCCATGATGTAATAGTTTTACAATTGCCCATTTTCCTGCCCCATCTTGTATTTTGCTGGTACCAGCTTAATTCATACACCACTGTAATTTTAAATCTCTTCACTAGGTGCCATTTTATTTTGTAGTAATGTTTC